AGCCACCCAAAAGAGTGGTGAACTTGGTCAGCATGCAGGCTCAGGCTGTTAATTAAAGTTCAAACAAAGCTGTACAGAGAGCACCCCAGACGCGTTGAAAGTTGTCGCCTAAAAAAGAGGGGTGTGTGAGCAGAGCTGCTCTCTGTGCAGGTATCGGTTTCCTTAGAAAAGCCAGAATGTACCTGGAATTACTACGGAAAGCACCTGGGGTTTTAAAACTTCCGAACTTTGCGGCGGTTTTTGCTCTTACAGGACGTGATGTTTGTGGCAGACACGGCAAACGCTATTCTGGATTCCCTGCGTGACAAGTCTCCGAACGTCCGTGCCAAAGCAGCTTGGTCCCTGGGCAACCTGACAGACACTCTGATCATCAACATGTGCGTAAGCACGCCTTGGCCTGCAGAACTCCCCTCTGCCCCGATTCCTGTAGCGTCAGACAGCGGGTACTGGGTCAGCTTGGTACCAAAAAAGCCCAAATGTCGCTTGGACGCTTCTTTTTAACCGCTCTTTTTTTTCTTCAGCGTGTGACGCTGTGTTAGAAGTGTCCTGGATCCGTCTGGGGCTGAGTTCTGCTGCACTGCTGGGGTTTAGGCCTTTCTAATCATTAGGTCTGGAGCAGATTCCAAGTTTACTTTTCACTTTTCTATTTTTTCTGTGTTGCTTTGTGTAATTGCATGTTCCCTGGTTTACTTTCAACGTGTCACAGACGTAAAATTAATAAATATTTAACACTTTCTCAAGCCCAAGACAGAAGGAAGTCTAACCCACTGTTACACTTTTAACAGGAGAAATAGTTGTCATATATCCCTGCTGCAGGATTGCCTCGGAGCAATTCGTTGCCCTCTGTTTTTTATTACAGGCTTAATGCCTTGCTAACCAGCTCTCTTGCATTGATAGTTTGGTTTTAAATTAATAAACGTAGCGGTCACATGTAGTAAGGTCTGCCTTACATATTAGCCCTCTCAAGAGTGGAGGTGGGTCATACGCCTTTGTGAAGGCTTGTGCCCCATCTTTGGGGATGGGTCAGCCGAGCTGCCCGTTCACAGTGCGATCCTTCCGCCAGGGAAACGATGGGACAAAGTTTTCAGGAGGAAATTTCTGATCTGCTGCTGCTGAAAATGTTACAGGCTGCGACTGAAGCGTCCAAGGACAGAGACAAGGTATGACTGAGGGGAAGGAGGGTGGAGTTATCACAGCGTTTTTATTAAAAAACAAAACAAACAAACCCTCTTGCATTTTTACTTTAAAAAAAAGGGAAAAAGGCCCCAGTTACCGTTGGGGGTGTTTTGCCCCAGTGGATGGGGAGCTGCAGCTCAGCATCCTCTCTTGAGGGGCGGGTGTTTGGAGGTTTCCCGTGGCGTTCGACCTGCAGGGCGTTTGCTCGTGCTTTTCCAGAGCGCTGGAGGAGTGTTTTCGTTGGCTGCTTTTTGTTTTCAGGGGGACCACTGGCACAGAATGGTCTTGCTGGTGGCATTTAGGAAGTTGCCATCTGATAAGACACCAGATGGGTCCAAATGTTGGCTCTGAGCGTGGTTTCGTAGCAGGCTTGACGAAAGCTTTGCCTGTAAGCTGAAAGCCAGAGTTGGTGGGGTTTTTGTGTGTGTTCCAGGTAAAGAGTAACGCGGTCCGGACCCTTGGGAATGTGCTTCACTTCCTCCAGCCGTATCACGTAGCGAACCCCAGGTTTAGGGAAGCCATCGAGGAGTCTCTTCAGGCCCTTATTTCTACTGTTCAGAGCGAGGCCACTATGAAAGTGCGCTGGAATGCTTGTTACGCGCTGGGGAATGTGTTTAAGAACCCTGCCTTGCCACTCGGTGAGTCACTTGTCCCCCTGGCTTTGGATTTGCACAGCAGGTTGTGGTTTCGATGATAAAGTCTCTGTTACAAACGTGCTGGGGAAGAGGGAGAAAGCAAACTGAGCTGAATCTTGCTGCCGTAGCTTTCCCAAAACTCTTGCCGGTGAAATGGGCTCCGACCCTGCGAATGCTGATACGGGCTTTACTGTGCTGTGTTCAGCTGGATCTGTCATGTTAGAAAAGAGGGTGAGGGTGGGATTATAGCTGTGAACGGATGCGAAACGTCACTTTTCCTCTTAGAAAACTGCAGAAGATTAACCGGTTTTAACTCGTCTTTCATTTCATAACTCCTGATGCTCTCATTCAGACCAGAATAAATACAGTAAAAGTAAACCCATCAAGTATTTAGGAGATGCATTTACAGTTTTGTACATGTTGACTGGTTGAAAAGGGGGTTTGGGGCTCTTTTCTTTTTCAGGAGAGGCTCCTTGGACCACGCAAGCCTACAGTGCCCTGTCCTCAGTAGTGAAGTCCTGCAAGAATTTTAAAGTCCGCATCAAATCGGCCATGGCCCTCTCCATCCCTAGCAAGAGGGAGTGCTACGGCTCCACTGAGCAGTTCTGCCAGATCTGGAGCGCCTTGGTGGTGGCCCTGCAGAAGAGCGAAGACACCGAGGACTTTCTGGAGTTCAAGTACAGCGCCAGCCTCAGGACGCAGATCTGCCAGGCTCTGCTGCATCTGTTGGGCCTGGCCAAGAGCACGGACCTGCCAGTCATTTGGGAAACCCTCAGGGAAACGGGGGCTGCCCTCAAACCCTACGTCCTGCAGTACCTGAAGTCTGGCAGCGAGGAGGGCGAAGCCGGGCTGCGCACGGACTGGCGCGAGAGGGAGAGAGCCTTGAAAGGAGCTATTGACCATCTCGGGGGCGTAGAGAAACAGCTGGGGGGCAAAGCCAGGGGCAGTGTGTCTGGTTACCTGGAAGGCATCTTGACAGACCATGCCAGTGCCACCCAGTTGACAGAGGCTTAGAAAGAAACGCCTCTTTCGGTGACCAGGGACTGAACCTCTGCCCGGGCGCAGAGAAGGAACGCGGTGCTTCCCCTTGCACAGGGCACCCAGAAGAAAAGCTTCCTGGCGCTGGTATCGAGCAATTTATTCTAAACTTATTAAAGTCATTCATGCCTGATGGGGAAAAATATGTAGAACGTTTTTTTTGTTATTATTTTTGTGTTTAGTGAACTCTGAAGTTGTCCTCCCCTGGTTTTGTTTGTGCGCTTAACTGGGGCGGTGATACCACTCGGGGAACAAAATGGCTTTTCCTTCTTGGCATGTTCTACACAGCCAGGCTGTTCTCTCGGCCTATCCAAGAGCACGTTGTTACTACTGCTGCTGAAATCGTTTTTGCAAAGGAGGGGTCTGGAAGAATTCTGGTTTTTCTGGGCACTGCAACTGTTGTCACTCTTGTGTTCCTGCAGTAAACCCCGACATGCCAATCTTGGAGCGCTGGCTTGGAGCAAACACGCTTTGCCTTTGCCTGTCTGCGTTCCTGGTGTCTCCCACCGGGCCTCTGCCTCGCTGCTGCCTTCCAGCATCCTCTAGTCCAAAAACTCGACATTCCTTGTCTCCAGGGGGATGGTCCTGTGCTGCGTAAGCCAGAAAATCCCACGCCGGTCCTTCGAGGCTGGGATTTTGCCTCGTCAAGCGATGCCCCCGCCCTGGGGCCCTGTCCCCCTTCTGTGGGCAGGGCAGCGCGGCTCTAAACCGCCCCTGGGTTTGCTTCTGGTTCTGGAGTTCTGTCCCCTGCCCCTTCCTTCAGCCGGGTGGGACTTGCTCTGTTTGCTGGGCAGGACGGAGCTCGCTGATGCTGCTGGGGACAAATGGGCGCCCTCAGGAGTGAGCCGGTCTGTGGGGCCCTTAGAGCGAAGTGCCTGCTCCTGACCTCGGGGGGATGTTGGAACAGGGCACGGGGCAAGCCCTGCCTGTCGTAAAAGCCCTTTGGGTGGGCCCTATCCTGCCTCAGGAGGACCCCTGGCTGCGCTTCAAGTTACAGATCTGCACTTAGCTGATACTTGCTCCTTTTCTCTCTCTTTGGCTGCTCCAATGATACCTGCATCCCTCCGAGTTTCCCCCATCCTGAGACAAGTCTGTGTTTTACAGCTGCGGCTGCCTCTGGAAGAAATCTGCCCCGTTACCGTCGTAAACACGACTGGGCCTGGTTGTCTTGCCCAGGTTTGGTGGCATCTCTCGAGCTCCCTGCACCGGCTGAAATACCGGTGGTGGGACTTGGTACACAACGTGTGGTCGGGCCGCAGATGCAGGGTGTACCCGAGCTGAGTGTCTGCTCCAGCAGCCCACACCCGATGTCGGGGTGTTCTTCTGAAGGGAGAAATCTCTGCTTTTATGTGCCCCAAGCTGGGATTCTGAGTAGCACGTAGCCACCCGCTTTGGTTTCGTTCCAAACTTCTGTGAAGCCTCAGCTGCCTCCTGAAACCCCTCAGGGCTTTTGAGGAAACGTGGACTTGGGCTCTGAGCAGCACAAGCGAGCGATGGAGGCAAACCAGGAGCTCCAGGGGCTGACTGGAACAGAAGCGAGCGTGGGAGCAGCCCGCCCGCTCGGCGTTTGAAGCTTTCTGAACCCCCACAGGCGGTGCTTCAGCAGTGCTTCAGCCCTCACTGGGGAACCTGCCCCTTTCCTCAGACGGGAAGATAAGAACGTCTTTGGGAGCAAAAGGGGTTTCTGGGTAGCCTGGGCTGAAGGCGGCCTGGTTTGTCCAGCTGTTTAGTGAAGAGCCCCGCTCGGTACGGGGTGCTAAAGCAGAAGGGGTGCAGCACCCTCCCCTCCCCTGAGCCTGTTCCTTAGGGTCTGGCGCCTGCCTTTCCCTCGAGACCCACAAGAACAAGGCACCGTGTCTCAATGCCAGATCGAGTTTGTCTGCGAAGGAACAGGTCGGGCTCTGCGGGCTGGTTCTGCGCGCCCTTGGCTGCTCTGTCCTGCAGCTGTGATCCCCGGGGATGTTCCAAGGCTCCGAGCATCAGCGTGACCCTTCACCACATCACAGCACTAAGCACTGAAACGCTGGTTTGGGTAGAGAGTCTGGATTTTGTGGCCTCACCCCGCACCCTCATTGCAAACATCCTGGCTGCGACGAGGAGAATGTCAGGGATGGGCCTACACTGATGCCAAGGGAAGAGCCTTTTCCTGGCTTCCAGCACCCATAGCCAACCCTCTGGGGAAAAAAAGCGTGTGCACAGGGGCGAGCAGGGAGGCAGGAGCTGGGTTTTGCTCTGGCTGGTGGAACAAACCCCATCCAGCATCTCCTGAAGAGGAGACAAACGCGTCATCCTGCCAGCACAGGGGTGTTGCTGGAGGGTCACAGGTTCCAGGGGCATGGAGGGGGCAGCTGTGACAATTTGGGCCTAATTTCAGCGAGCAACACCTGGAAAGCTGCTGGGTGGGATCGGGGGTCAGTCACGAGGGTCAGTCGTGGGGGTCAGTCACGAGGGTCAGTCGTGGGAATCAGCTGTGCTTGGCCCCAGCCCCGTTTCTGCTGCTGGTGGTCGCACCTGGGGTGGTCCTGAGGGTGCTGGGGCAGAGCTGGGGTTCTCCTGCCTGGGACCGAGGTCAGTGATGATTTTAAATGTTCCTTTACCGTTGGATGCTCATTTTTGGTGCCTGGCAGAGCGGTGTGTGCCCTGTGCCACCCCCTCGCTGCCAGCGAGAGCAGTGGGAGCGAACGCAGCCTCCGTCCTCGGCCGGGGACTGGCGAAGCACGAGGTGCTCGGGGCCGGTGTAAAGCAGCACCTTCCCCACCCCGGCCAAGGTTTTATTGTCCTGCCTCTTTATTGTGGTGTTTACAAGCCAGGCGCTTTATAGGTTTTCCTATGAATAGTTTCAAGGAGAAGGTAATTACCTTATCACATGCAGGATGATTTATAGCCAAGGTGGCAAGGGACATTCAAGCCCCACATCGGCTCCGTTTGAAAGACAATCCGCCCGTTCTTCCGCGCGGGGTCACCGGGTGGGTGAAAACAAAAGGGCTTTAGTGCCCGGCCTGCCCGGGCCCGGCACCGGGACCGCTCCTGCGGCCGAGCCCCGGAGGGAGCGTTGCCCCGGGCCCTGCTGTGCCGCGGGCGCC